GAGAATGGCAGGGAGGCCACCTGTTCTTCCATCCAGCACTCTCTCATACTCGGAGAACTTCTTGTATATGCTTGATTCCTTGTATGTTCTGACCTCCCGTTCCAAATGTTTATGTTCTATAAGATCAGACTCAGTGTTTTCCGTAGCTTAAATGGATATCGGTGTCACTTTCAATTTGAAGTGGATTCTGAGCACTGCAGAGTAAATTGCATTTTTAAGTGTTATTACCTTTGAAACTTGTGCTGCTGTTCTGACTAATGGTTTTGGCCATGGAACAGAGGCAACAGGTCTTATAAACCAAATCCACGGCTTGCTCGTGCACTAGATATTCTTTTTGTGTTACATGCAGAACATGAAATGAACTGTTCCACTGCAGCTGCAAGACACCTCGCCTCAAGGTTGTTAATTATTGTCATTCTGAACGTGGAGAAATTATTTATTTGTTATGTAACTTACACAACTGCATTTGCAGTGGTGTTGATGTATATACAGCCCTTGCTGGTGCGGTTGGAGCCTTATATGGTCCACTTCATGGTGGAGCTAATGAGGTACTCCCTGTTCTAGTGTTTATGAAGTTGCTCTGACGAGTTTTTGTCTTCCAATGGATAGTAATGACATACTATAGTAGCATCCTTATGCATTGTTACAAGAAACTTAAACGTTGCAAATGATCTATTGAAATGTATTCTGTAGGCAGTGCTTAAGATGTTGAGTGAAATTGGAAGCATTGACAATATACCAGATTTCATTGAAGGTGTAAAAAACAGGTTAGAATCTTTTTGAGGTGGTCATCCTTTGATCAATTATAAGAAAGCTCATCTTTATGGTCTTATTCTTTATTCATTCTTGTACGATTTGATATCCTCTAGAAAGCGAAAGATGTCTGGTTTCGGCCACCGTGTTTACAAGAACTATGATCCGCGAGCGAAGGTCATCAAAAATCTTGCAGAGGAAGTATTTTCAATTGTTGGTAGGGATCCTCTAATCGAGGTGGGTTTTAGTGATTTTAAGTCAATTTAGATGCTTTTTTATTAGAAACTAGATATGACAATGTCGTTGATCCTTGAAATAAATTGCTGTTGGTAATTGGACAAATTTCTGTCGAACAATTAAACGTGAGGAAATTGACTATAGCTTTTCCTGTAACAAATCTTGCTTACCATTTCTCAGAAAACCATATCATGAAAAATCTGCCAATAGTATCAGTGTGTTCTCGCCATAGTAGAAATACTTTACTCCTTTGCTTTTTAGATGAAAAAGTGGAATTTGTAATGGACGAGGGATTGAGAACTGCTTTCTTGTAGAGCCCTGGTTTAGGACTACATTGTCACATAAATGCATGTGACCTGAGCTCTTGCTATTTTGTTCGATAAGAAATGCATATCAAGGAAATACCCCCCTGGGTTTCTAACTATGTACTTGGACCAGGTTGTTTTGATTATGATTTTGGCAATATCCCTCAGTATCCACCTTAAAATAAAAACATGGAATTTTGACTGCATTGCCAGAGAATACAGTTCCACGTATTTTCATGGTAGATCAATACTTGGAATGGACAATGCCTGTTGTACTTCTACTTGTTTTTCTATTGAACTCACTTCTAGAGAAGTAAATTTGACATGCATATGTGGTTCTCATACACCACTTTTATTTGTTTTCAGGTGGCCTTAGCTTTAGAGAAAGCTGCCTTGTCAGATGATTATTTTGTGAAGAGGAAGTTGTATCCTAATGTCGATTTCTATTCCGGGTTAATTTATAGGTACAACTTTGGAGGGAAAAAGACCTTGCATCGTTTTAAGTCATTCTTTCTTATTAATTTAACCGATAACAATTATATTCTTCATTGTATTTGGTTAGGGCAATGGGATTTCCAACAGAGTTCTTTCCTGTTCTGTTTGCAATTCCCCGGATGGCTGGCTATTTGTCTCACTGGCGCGAGTCTCTGGATGATCCAGATACCAAGATAATGAGACCAGCACAGGTGATCATTTATGTCACCAAACGACTTGTATTTTGTTTCTTTCTTCCGTACCTTGTTTTTTCTTTAGGATTTTATGGACTTCCATCTTTGCTATCAGCATTACAAAACTACAACTAACCCTGCATTTTTCCGCCAAAAAAAATATAAAAAAAAATGTGAGACTACATTCAGGAGATTAATGGGTGGTTTATGGCTGGTCCTTGATTATCAAAACTGTTTATACATTTTCATTTTCAACTTGGAGAGTAGAAGCGCAATGTGGTGCATAAAATTATTATTGACTCTATTTTCAGGTGTACACGGGTGTGTGGCTACGTCCCTACATGCCACCGAGAGAGCGGATAATAACAGAAGAAAAGGATAAATTGGGCCAAGTTGCCGTCTCGAATGCAACAAAGAGGCGTTTAGCTGGATCTGGGGCCTAGACTTTGTCTCTTGCAACTGGTTGCATCAGATTCTTCTCGTTTATGAAGAAATAATAATCGATTTTATTGATGTGGTGCATTTTGCATAAAGAATGTTGTTTCACGCCCGATATTTATAAACATTTGCAGACAACAAAAAGATGTAAGTTGTATTGATGCTACAATTTATAAATGATCGATAATAATGATCACCATTACAGCCCTTCATTCCATCGCATTTTATACTCGAGCAGATATTAAGTTTGTGGTGGTTTAGATATTCTGAAAGGTCTTTCCAATGAGAGAAGGCGTAACTTTATCGTCTCACTGCAACTCTTGATCATGATAGTACACGCACAAAATAGAGGAATTTATACTACATCCGAGTCTAAATTTGTTGTTTAGGAGAGTTGATTGGTATTGCTCCAAATTTTTGTTACTAAGATTTGTTGTGTAGGAGAGTTGATTGGTATTGCTCCAAATTTTTGTTACTAAGAAAGCGGGAGGCTGAAATTTAAACTTGCTTATGTTAAAATGTACGTTGCCCAGTTTATTCATTAATGGACCATGGAAATGACAAAGGAGTGCGTCCTGGTTATTCTCTAATATGATAATCAATCATAATTGAAAAAAAGAAGATTATGCTTTGCTTCTATCATTTTTTTTTTTTTTTCAAACGATAT